ATTCGGGACAAGTTCAGAGAGTGCACCGTGCTCACCATCGCTCACCGCCTCAACACCATCATAGACAGCGACAGGATCATGGTCAGTCCTAGAGTCACAAACGTCGACAAACGAGCCTCTGTACTGTTATATGATAACTCATTGAGTCTCATTTGGTCCCCAGGTGCTAGATGCAGGGAGAATTCAGGCCTATGATGCACCTTACACGCTGCTTCAAGATCCAGAAGGAATCTTTTGCAAAATGGTGCTGCAGACCGGCAGGCAGGAGGCAGCAGCGTTACTGCAAGCGGCCAAACAGGTGGGTCCCGCCCTCTGCAAACATTTTACATAAAAGGTACAAAAAAGTTTTCCCATCTCACTTTACAAACTCTTTGCTCTTCAGGCATACAACAGCAAAAGCCGTCCTGACGTCGCTAACGGACACGCGGAGACGGCAGATGGTCACTTGGTGATCTTTGAGACGGCGCTGTGAGCTCGTGGAGGGGATTCCTCGGATGTCACAAAGTGCCTGCGCGCTCGCAAATGGCCGACCGAAAGACTTGGTCGCTGTAGACCGTCCGGAGACGGGACCCTGAGAGGCCCTCCGCTCGCTGTGCCTCAGCCAAATGTACACGTGCACATTTAGCCCACTCAGAGAGCGACAGCTTCAAATACATGGCTATTTATTTACCGTGCTGTACGTTTGCCCTCTGTCTGATGATGCCTTGAAGAAGTTGCTTATTTAATATATATATACGGTATATATATATACACACACACACGAGTGCCTTATTTTAAGTTTGCACATGTGACAAGGCCAGTGTCTGATCTATCCGTAGTAGCCTTGTGTCTGTTCGTACATACGGGTAGTATTATTGCACGCCGCTGATCCTTGTCAAATCAAACTCAAAACAAATGTTTCGGCAATCTCGTTACTCATTGTTTTTGTACAATCCTGTTGACATTTCTGTCATCTACACTAGTTTAAAACTGCAGTACATCAATCTTCGGACTTAACAGTTTCCAGGTGAGGACGTGTCCAATTCTGAGGACGTGTCCAATTCATTTGTTAGAATGACATTACACTTTTAATTACTTTTTAGTTGGTTTACCAATTTGTCTTAAATATGTTTGTAACTTTGTTCTCAAATGCTGAATACAAATTTTACATCTTGCACTGATGTCATTTGGTTCTTTTACACACTATATCTATACATAAACTCATACCTTTACCTTCAGGAAAGGGATACGTGAGCTACCATTCCACAACATAGATCTGATATTACAGCCCCTCTATTGTTCACTTGACTGCTGCACATTTAACATAATACTAGTAATTACCATCAGTTTGCTGCACCTTCACTAAGACATCGTTTGTTTGTTTAATTTGCTTCAATCGGCTGTGTAACCATCAGAGGTGGGAGAAATTGTCAGATCTTCTACTTGAGTAAAATTAGAAGTACCAGAGGAGGAATACTCTGTTACAGTAAAAGTCCTGCATTCAAAATGTTTCTCAAGTAAAAGTACTAAAGTGTTAGAATCAAAGTATACTAAAAGTAGTCATTGTGCAGATTGGTCCATTTCAGAATAATATATATGATATATTTTGAGCTGGTAAAGGTGCAGCTAGTTTGAATGACTTTGTATACTGCAGGGTAGCTTGTGAATTTACTCCAGGTGGAACTAAAGTCTGATTTAAGAGTTGATTATATTTCACATCATTAATCAAAATCTGTAAAGTAACTAAAGCTATTAAACAAATGTAGTGTATTAAAATTGCATGATTTAACTCTGAATTGTATTGGAGTAGAAGTACAAAGTAGCATTAATAATGTAAATGTACATAGTTACTTTACACAACTTCGTCTTATTTTAAAGCCAACTCTAGATTTTTACAAGACAAAATTCCCACTAAAGAGTGCAAAGCAATGAGGTAGCACTTACAATAAATAATCCTATATGTACTAAAAATTAACATTTACTCTCAACACTCCTGATTGGTAACACGATGCTAAATGTTGTCCTTAAAGTTCACAACAGTGACATAAAAAAAATAACGTGCAATGCAAACCACTTGTATATGAAAAGGCTTTATTTTGTCAGTAGCATTAATGTCAGTCTACATCAGGGGTCGGCAACCCCTGGCACGCGTGCCAGCATTGGCACGCGGCACCGTAACCAGTGGCACACTAGGAATAAGTGGAATAAGTGTGCAAAAATATTTAAATTGTATTTTCGGATCCTGAACGAGACCGCCGCCAGAGCGCGTCTCCCCGTTACCTGCAGAAGGAAGCCATGCACGCAACGCAGCCCCGCTCTCTTTATCTCCAGGTGACATTCTGTCGCTTTCCTCCGTGGTGCAGTGCTGATCGTTTCACCACGGAGGAAAGCACTTCACTAATTGCAGTACCCATAAGGAGCTGTACAAATGCCGCAGTTTTTGCGTGGCTGTGTATTTAGTTGAAAGCCCAGTGGCGATCTGCTCATCTCTCATCGACATAATATGCTACAAAGGGGCGGACTGGCCATCTGTGTGTTGAACTTTCCTGTCGGCTCCCAGACCGTAGTAGAGGAGGGCAGAAGCAACAAGCTTCAGGTTCGATAACCCACTTTAGAGAGAGGCGAGCTCTTCTTGGGAGGCCGTTGAATTTATTTAGCTGTTCTTCTGTTTCACAAAATACATCACAGACCTCTGTTTTTCTGCTTCCTCGTTTCACTTCCAGAAACATACACACGTTCTCTCCATAGGTTCTCTCACTGTCGCTCTACCATCCACAAACACACTGCACAAGCCACACCCTCCTCTCTCTCTCTCTCTTAAAGGGACAGCGATCTCATCTCACTCTGCATGACCCTAATATCATAGCATGTGTGCTCTGGAGAATCACAGAACGGACGATCGTCCTTATTATTATGCCGTTTAAACCAATTATTTAAATGTGTTTGTTAAATTCGGCATCATGCGAGTTGCGCTGACAGGTCCACACACTGCTTCCCCGCAGCGAGGCTCCCCCGCCCTCCTGCTGATAGTTGACGAGCGTCAAGCTCCTCACCCCCCCCCCGTTGATAATTCTCGATCGTTGGCACGCTGATAACAATTATTTTTTAAAATGGCACTTCATATCAAAAAGGTTGCCGACCCCTGGTCTACATAGATAAACTATTCCCCAAATCCAACC